CTCCCTCCTACACAAGGAACGGAGGGGGGAGAGATAATTTTTAAAACTCGTGTAACTAGAAACGCGACTTGCACCGGTCGACCCCGAGTATATCATTTATAGACCTTTTGTCGCCGAAATTATATTTACAGAAGTGAGCAGACAATTTCACGCTCTCTTCCCAGAGCCCCCACACTTTGTACTCTAATCAGAGAGATGAAAACATAACATGGATATTCCAATGTTTGATATAAATGCAATGTGATGTTTATAAAAATAAAATATCAACTACTTCTTTTTAAAAGCGTTCCATGCTCTTATAATGTGACATATATTTTTTCATAATTAGAAATAATTGCATATTCGTGACATATTTTTTTCGTTTTAAATGAAGAAGAATGAAATTCTTTCCATTTTAAAATACATCAATTCAAGAGGAAAATAAAATATTATCTATTTGAAAGAAAAATTTAAATGAATTCTTAATAGAGGAAAAATAAAACTTAGTTTCCAATCGCCTCATTTCCCGGCTAGAATAAAAGACTATTGATGCTCTTGATGTGGTATATCCACTAAAGTTCTCACTCTGTGCCCCTCGACCAATAAAAGGGTGAGCGCACACATGAGCGTGAAAGATTGTCCACATGTTCGACGGACACCCCGCGGAGTTATCAGCCGCCGGCGCTGGCCTGCTCCTGTCTTTCCGCACTCTGCTTATCTGCACAAAACATCTATTACTTTCACACTAATCTGACGCTACAACGGAAATGAGTACAATTGACTAACAATATATCATTAAAGAGGTTCTAAGACCAAATTCACGTATTTACTGATGATAGGACTTCTTGTGAGCTCGCACGGGTGGGTACCACCACCCAGCGTATTTCTGCCGTGAAGCAGTAATGCGTTTCGGTTTGAAGGGTGGGGCAGCCGTTGTAACTATACTGAGATGTTAGAACTTATATCTCAAGGTGGGTGGCGCATTTACGTTATAGATGTCTATGGGCTCCATTTACCACTTAACACCAGGTGGGCTGTGAACTCGTCCACCCATCTAAGCAATAAAAAAAAATTTGTTCAAATGCAATTACATTTAAGCGCTTTTTCATTCGCGTCAATGAGCAGACGAGCTCGAAAACCATTTGCTGTTAACGTTTGTTGTAACAGTGTGGGTGTTGTTGCAAACCATTTACTGTGACATCACCGTTAATAGAGTCCTAGGAAATATGGAATTCACTCTTAGCTTCAGTGCCACATGTTGTTATTCAAAGGTTATTGTGAAAAAATACCCAGGCTGAAAATAAATTTACTGCAGCCTTGGTATTGCTGAAAAAGGTACTCGAATGGCGGGTACCAGGCTACCTCAGAATTGAGGCCTATAAAATCAAAGGCAGCTAAACGCCTTAATGTCGTAAAATGGATTAACAATGGCGCTATCTTGTTTAGTTAGTTGGACACGCTTTAGTGTTTTCATGTTATAGCAAATGCAGCTAAATCTCTAACAAATTCAGTTCAAAATTTTTATTTTCACTCTGTACTAAGTACTAATAAACGAAGTTTTATCATTAAAAATTCAGAGTATTAGTAATATTCTCATTCTTTATAAATCTTCTTTAAAATAAAGAATATCGTAACTATCCGAACAGTTATTTCAGCTTCTCAAACCGGAAGTGTTGCTAACACTGGCCCTAGCAAGAGCAGTACTTCGATGGATCGTGAGGATCCGTAATGACGTGTTTAGGGTCGATTTTTGTAGTTTACCTGAATATTTGACAGACTTGGATTTAGCTGCCTTTGATTTTATGGCCTCAATTATCTTAGCAAAAAAGAGTACTAAAAAATCATGAGAGCTTCCTAATAGAGATGTGAAAACCTTGATTGCATTACTTTCTCGCATGCAAACGTTAATGTTGATCTCCAACAGTGGTCACATAGCTTCTGATTACCGTTTAAAATCATAACTCTCAATCAAACTCAAATTTTTCTTTACTCATTTTATTTAATACTCACGTTTGTTATCGATGTTATCTTAAGATTTATTGTAGCGATATGACCCCGGCAAAATGAGCCGCGTGACCTTTTCCTGAAATTGACAAGCAAATAAATTGCAGGATCAAAGCTCAGTGCGTAGAAAAACGTCGCGTCTAGAGGGGCGGCTGTATACGTCATGAGTACGGGAGACATGATCATACGGAAACGGAAGTGACGACAGTGGGCGAGCGGAAGCGATGCATGGCGCCGGATGTACCAGAATCCGGTGTACGCACCGCCTTCACTTATCACAGCGGGGCTGCCAAAATATTCGCTATACGCTGTCAAATTTACTAATTTATTATGCTATTTGCTTATGTGATCTACGAATGTTTATAGGGATACAGAAAAAAATAACAAAAGGAAAACATTGTATAAAACTCCTTGAAGCAATTTTCGATTTTGGCTCTCTCACAAATTCTGAGGAGGTGTTATGATTGTTCATGTAAAAAATTGAATTCTAGAAAAATTAAGTTACATGCGAAACTAAGCTTTCCACGTCAAATGCAAATAGACATACTCGTATATCCATTACTATTAATTAAATAGACATACATAAATTAAACAAATACACATTATGTTACTCTTAATAATTTTTAACAGTATTCATTTCTAAGGTTTATTAAGTAATTAAACAACAACTTTACTATATCAACTAATTAAAATATGTCGCTATGGTCACATGCACAAACTTACCACCACAAAAACTGTACCAAACTCGGTACTTCGGTCACACTTAAACAATTATGACCACAAAAACTGTACCAAACTCGGTACTTCGGTACTTCTCTTTCAGCCCAGCAGAAAATCCAACCAGTAGATCAAGATTCACGTTATATCTACACGAGTTGATAAAATTAAAAAATTATATGAAAGCTAACAAAATACGAATGCTCGTAATTCAAAAGAATATGCTCCTAATAATACCTACCCTAAACAAAATGTCAATCAAATACCATTTATTACTAAGTCGGTCATTTCAGTATTTCTTCTCAAGCACTCAACCAACTTGAAATAACTAATCCACATAAATACAGAATAAATTGTTTATTTTTACCACAAAACATAATTCGTGGAAATATTGATTATCTGTGGAACCATTAAAAAAAAAACTACATCTCTGATATTGAAATACAAAACTAACAATAACAGTAATAAACAGAAGTTAGTTCAACTCGTATCATTTTATAGATATCAATCTTAATAAAGAACGATAACAAGTTCAATAACAAAAACTGACATAAAAACCACGAAACCCGCCGTGGATAGGAAATGCGGTTCATCAAGAAAGCCGAGTCATTTCTATACTAAATCGTTTCTACATCGCGTGATACGAAAATTAATTTGTTTTCGAGTCAGCTCCAATTTAGGGTTCCTCGTTATACATATGTCTGATAATTTGTAACCGTTCTTCAGAAGATTCACATTCGACTGAATTTTAGAATGAACGCCAACAGTAACTATATTATCTGTATACTGAATGATTATTCACTGCTAATTCCTAAATTAAAATGTAGGACACAAAGCAAAAAATGAGAGCCAATTGTGATTATGCCTTTTTGGTTACACGTGAAGATCTTTCGTAATTTTAAACTACAACTACTGCTGTACATTAAAATATAGATACCAAGCTAAGATTCAACTTCTAGTTTCTATCAACATTACATGTACACGCCAAAACGTAACAAGTGGTGGTAGCGAATGGATCAAAAATAAGCAACTTTACATTTACACTTATTCTTAGCACTTATTTCATCAGAAATGAAATAAATAGACTCCATGAAACAGTTGCGATTAGAACTGCCGCTTTCCTATACGGATGAAATGCACCTCATGTTTCTAGCAGAGTGGCGTTAGTCAGATCATCATGTTTATGTGCTTCACTTACCAGTTAACACGCAAAAACGCGACAACTTAATATTTTTCTTTTTGCTTTGGATGAAGACCTTTTTCTTTTTTCCTTTGTGCTACATTATGGGGTCGGTGCAGCATGTGTTTTTCTTCAATTCAGGTCATCATCTCTATACTCACATTCTTCTCTAGGATTTCCTTTTCAACAAAGACCACCCAAGACTTTTTAGTACACCCTCCTCTTGCGGTCTATTTTCAAACCCAGGGTCTCTTTGGCCACATGATCAACCTATCTTTGCATAACATGCCCATACCACGATAACCGTCCATTTTTTATTTTCTCTGTCCTAGGTGTCATTTTTTTATTTTCCTTCTATTTCTAATTCAGTTTATTCCCAACTATCATATCATATCATTCGATTTGCATGTTGTTTTTTTACTTGAATTATTCATTGTTTTACTGGTACCACCAGGACCTCTTGTGAGTCCGCACGGGTAGGTACCATCGCCCCGCCTATTTCTGCCGTGAAGCAGTAATGCGTTACGGTTTGAAGGGCGGGGCAGCCGTTATAACAATACTGAGACTTTAGAACTTATATCTCAAGGTGGGTGGCGCATTTACGTTGTAGATGTCTATGGGCTTCAGTAACCACTTAACAACAGGTGGGCTGTGAGCTCGTTCACTCATGTAAGCAATAAAAAAAAACACCTACAAAATTATTATTTTGATACTCACATAGTTTTAAGAGATCTACTAACATAATAAACCCTGGTTACTTTAATAAACAAATTATCAAATTATAAAAATAAAGCCTTGTTCCTGACTCGCAGCTTGTTAGAAATACATTCGAATTATTGCTTTGCGGTAACAGTTGCGTTCAAACTGCTGCTCACCTGCTCACATGAACTAACAAAGAAAATGAGTAGTGTATTCCGAATCAACTCAAATAGCTTGCAATAAGATGCAGTAAGAGTGGTCCAATATACCGCTTTTCATGATTTTCTTTTGGCATACTCAGTTAATATATTTTCAAGACCGTGTAGTACCCAAAAACGAAATAAAACGAATATACTGCTATTCTTATTAATATATTTCATAAAAGAATAAAATTACATTTTAAAAGAAAACAAGAAAAATGTTAAGCACAAAAGATACCCTGATAATGTTCGCCGAAGATACCCTTAGCAAATGAACATATATAATCAAATTTAAATCCGTATAATGTTAAAATATTCTTAATTTCAATAAACTCTGGATTAGCGGACATTCTCTTTATAATTGACAAATATTCTTCAGAATTGATAATCTTGAAGAGTTCGGAAATTTCTGTACTTGTCTCTAGTTTATCTTCGAAAAGTTTTTTCATTTCTTCAAAGGGCAACGCAGCCATCATTTCTTCAAACACTCCAGATATTCCTTTTTTATTCCTTAATGGTGTTTTTGGTTCAAACGGCGGCATATTTAAAGCGTTATTAATAAAGTCGAACGCGAATCCAAAATCATAGCCCTTGACTTTCAAATATCCATAAGCCTGAAATAAAAGTTACATTTAACGGACATAGGCAAAATAATTTTATAGAGCGTAATTGTGTTATGTTACTTACTTCTCTGAACTCTGGCATGATTTCTATTTCCCAAATTATTTTCTTGAATTCCGGACTTAAAAGGAACTCGACGAAGTTCATAACTTCTGGATCGGAAATGTAGTTAACCGCAATACCCATTAATTTCTGAACGTCGATCAATTTTATAAAGTCTTTCACGTGGGCTTCCCATTCTGGTTGTGTATGAGTCTTCGGGAAAGTCGTTACTGAACATTCACCAAATACAGCAAGCGCTATAAACAACACACAAAAGCGTTTAAGCATCTTCGAAGTATTTAATTTACTCTTCTTTAAATCAATTAAGGATACACTAAATTATTTTGTATTCGGTATCTGCTTATATATGTTTGGAATTGCGTAACAACGGTCTAATTCGATATTTTCGAAATAATTAATAGCTTTACGATATTATCGATGATTACTCGAAAAGGGCACAAGTTGCACAAATGTGGATTAATCGATGTACCTAACATTAACAAGGCGCATTGTATATTCAATCATTGTGTATCTTATCATTCCTTACACGTGTGATTGGGTCATCATATTCAACGTTAATCCAGATTATATCGTGTTTACTTTGTTTCAACGAACTCGGGACCTTGGTATTTTCCATAATCAAATATCCATATTACGAAAAAAGATCACATACTTTATCTCTACGGCTATTAATGTTTTTTATGTTATTAATACAGAGTAGACAATTCAGAAGAGTCATTTCAAATCCAACCTCATGAATTATTGAATCAAGAAAGGTGTTAGTTAAAGACTGACATGTTGTAAGGATATCGAAAACCCTTAGGCGATTACTTGAAACATATTTGCAGATGAGCTGCTATTTTCGGTTTTTAAGATTAAATACTATGTTATCTTGAATCTGATCTTTAAAACGTATACATGTATTTTCGCTTCGTTTTTTATAAATTTGCGCGTCATTTAATCGATCTGAACTATTGTACAATTATTGTTGGCTCTTATTTACTTTGTTATTTTAAATGCTCTCTATGGGCAAACGCCAACTCCCGTCATGAACGTATAAAAACTGCCACAAGAATCATTACAATAAATAGTTTTATTTTGATATAATCATAGTAAACTGTGATTAAAGTGAGATCAATAATGCAATAAGTGCAATGAATATAGGTAGAATTGACGGACACGTGATTGCGATTGTCGGACGCTGTCCATTCGTGTCCAACGTTGCCCGAGGGCTCGATGTATACCTAACAACAGTATACACAAAGAAAACGATTTGGCCTTCAAGTCGGAGCTCAACAGGGGATATAGATTATAATATTGAACTGTATTGTTTTATGAACGGTCAAAATACTTTTGGTCCTAGACAGCTTTTATTTTAATTCCCGTTTCTTTATTCAATATGCACGAATGTAATTCCGCATGTGTAGATACCATATACACATCTGTCTTTTTCGACCGCGAAGCATGAACTCCATTTTAAAGGGTGGAAATGCCGTACTATTATATCATTCAAACCATCAATATCAAAGTGCTTTATTTGAGGTGAGTGACCTTCTTGTAAACTATGACACTAAATTTAATAATTTAAAAAAAGAACCATTATAATGCCTTTGACATTGAAGAAGGAAGATCCAATTAATAAAATCAACAACGTATATTTACTAATAAAATTAATTATTGGTAATGATTTATACCGTCAACATACTTGTCGAAAATATCCACGCTGGATGAAATGCCAAAGATACTTAACAAAGATACTGCTCTGACTGCAATCGAAGTTACTAAACCGCCTTAATGATAATATGTTTTGTTGAAATTATTGCTAATCTTCGACAAATAACACCCATTGTAAAAAATATATTTACAATGCATTCGTTAAACACTTATGCTTTAAAATTATTCTCTTCAAACCACTCGATATGCAGCTCATTAATTCGCAGAAACTAACGCTTCCGCAAATGAATGTAGCACCGTTTTCTGTTCGGATGATATCAGTTTAACTGTTCGTCACGACTCGAACTATAAAATTAAAGGAAACATTATCACAGGGCACTATCATTATATTGTTTTATTCGCGAAATTGCTCGCTTCGCTTAATGCCGGGGTTCGCTATTCGCACGGATACGGAACATTGGCGTGTACTTAACGACGCGCCTTTGAATGACAAGCCCCACTTCTAATGTAAGTATGTAATTGTTTAGTCAATTGCAGATGTTACGATCTGTCTGTTTGTCTCGGTCATCTTTACGTTCTCCGACTTTCATCTTTTTTAGTTTTTCTTTTATAATCTTATCTCTCATCATTAACTATATTATATGTATCATCGTTTTTGCTTTAATCATCATCACTAAATCTATTGTCTCTTATTGGATTTCTAAGGACGTTTCTCTTCGTTTCTAAAACAAGAAAAATAGTTGCTCTCTTAATTGATATGATCAATAAACCAGTAGGTTTCATAAGGCTTCTTACCCATTAGATAATTATTTTTCTGTTGATAGTGTGAATGTATTCTTGTCCAATTGAAAATTAGACCTAATTGTGACCTACGCGTTATTTTTTCTCAAATCTCCTTTGACTACTAAACACCAGTTTGGCCCACTAATAATATGTAACTCTAGTATTATGCAAAATCCTTTGACCTGAATTATCAAAAAAAAAAACACAAATAGGTACTAATTAATTAACTTGACATTCCGATGCTTTTCTCAAGTCGCAAATACTTTTGATAAAAATTCAACATTTTTAAATGGTATTTAAATTGCTGCATAGTTAACTTCAAAGCATTCTAGACTCGTTTACAAAGAGAACTTTGTGCAGTTAAAACGGTCAATTATATTTAACTCGTGACTACTTAAGGAGAAATACAGCGTAATGTGATCTTAGAGTATTCAAATTAATAAAACGAAGAGAACAAAACTGCTCATAAAATATTGTATTCTTATAATCTAATTCGATAAAGTCAGAGTGCATTCGATCACAGAACTACAATTGCTATATTTATTTCATTGTAAAACTAAATTAGTTCGTCGATTCATTGATCTAGTGGCCTATTACACTGAGTAGTAAGGAATGTGGGATTTTTTATTTATTTATTTATTGCCTTTGTATGTAGACGAGCATATGGCCCACCTGATGGTAAGTGGTTACCGTTGCTCATGGACGCCAACAATGATAGGGGCGCAGTCAAGTCACTGCCTACCATTGAAGTTCCCGGTCAAAGTAAATACTTTTCTCTCATATAACCGTTGTGAGTTCTGGTACCTATAAAGCAGGAAAATATATTGAGTTTGGAGCGTTGAGCTTACTACGAATCGTCTGTACTCATTCAAATATTTTAATAATAATAATATATTCAGCTGTAATTTAGGTATACAGGTATGCGAATCTGACATCTTCGAGTTTCAAAACTACTTTTCTATTGCAATCTATAGTAGTACCTCATCTGATTTTCTTACTTAATAATAATAATTTGGATTTTTGGTGTCGATTGAAATTAGCACCACACTTTCTCTTTCGTAAAAAACGACAGGTGTTCACAGGAGAATGGGTAGCACCGCTCTCTGAGTATCATACCAGGGTATTGCTATCGAAGGTACTACGATTGTGCCGCGATACACTCGTGCGTTCCAGTTGAAGAGCCGTATAGCCCTTATACTATACAAATAACCGTGCTCGTCGAACTTGGCAAAGAGTTCGAAGTGTATCTTAACCCATGTATCAGTCAGCCCGCTGAGTTTCTCGCCGGACCTTCTCAGTGGGTCGCGATTCCGATCCGGCAGTAGAGAAGCGCTCGGGTAGCAGTTAGCAAATCCCACCCCTCCTGGCTAAGCCCCTGCTCGCCCACCTGTACTAGTGAAACTGGAAAGGCCTCCGAGCCACCAGTAAAGTAAAAAGATATAATTGAGACACGGACCTCATGCATCGAGGTGGGCGGCATTCACGTTGTGATATTTATCACCTTCCGAAATCACGGAATACCAGATGGCCCACGATCTTATTTACCCTACTAAGTAATAGGTAAATATTATAAATAAAAAAGTTATTTATCTTCTGTTTGGTGAAGTGACATAATCTTCTTAAGCTATTCTTCTTACCATAAGTCCTACCCCAATGACGCCACGATTTGGTACCACTATCATGTTCAAATCCAAGTTAATGTTATCGTTTTTTTTTAATTTAACGCGTCTAAAGTCGCGAGTTACGCCTAGTTACTAATAATTACTTTTTTTTCTGGTATCTAAGTAGAAGTGATCGAAATAGTACGTTCTTTTTGAACGATCTTAAATTAAACCAATGGTTCTAGCGTAGGCCGATTGCTGTGAATCGCATGGCAACTTCAAGAAATGTCATCTATGCCTTCGATGCGATATAGGGGAGAAACGGGGATAGATAGCAGTGCACGTGCCACGAAATCCAATGAGTTTCTGAAACGGGTGAAACATTCAAATTGCAACCGCCCGCGCCCGCCCGTATCAAATGTTGTTTTATAGCTAATTCCCAAATTCGGTTATGGCCTATAAACGATCCGCTGGAATAATTTAAATGCGGACCCGCCTGTATAATGTGCGTACTTCACTCCGAAATTAGGTATTTGTATGTGAAATGCGTTTTGAAATAGGATTCACTGCCGACTTTTATTTCTTGCGCACGAAGATTCCGTGTTTTTGGAAATTTGGTTTTAATCAAATGAATTTAATAATGTGTTTTCCGATTCTCGCGGTAAATATACGTAAGCGTAAGCTTAGTCATCATCGACAGAACAAATATAATTTCGTTTATGTAGAGTGATTACCTAAAATTGTAATGAAAATACTTTATTAATATTTTTTTTTTTTGAATTAGGTAGGTTTGGCTATAGGCTACTTCTGAAAAACTTTGAAAACTGAAACTCTGAAAAACTCGGGTTATATTTTTCTTAGATGGGTGGACAAGCTCATAGCCCACTTGGTGTTAAGTGGTTACTGGAGCCCATAGACATCTACAACGTAAATGCGCCACCCACCTTAAGATATAAGTTCTAAGTTCTCAGTATAGTTACAACGGCTGCCCTGACCTTCAAACCGAAACGCATTACTGCTTCACGGCAGAAATAGGCGGGGTGGTGGTACCTGCTCGTGCTGTCTCACAAGAGATCCTACCATAACGGTCCGTAGATGTTGGGTGCGGACTGCGGGTCCAAGAATACTTTAGGGCCCTACCCAGCAAACGACGTTCGATCGATTCGACCACCCTACGTTCGATCTCAGCCCGGGCAGTGTAGAGGTTCGCGGCTAGGGTAGATTCTCGGT